CCTCGGAGCATCTTCGTGGCCTCCTCTGGACTCGCTCCAACCGGTCGTCCTTTTGGCTATAAAAGAAACGCCCATGCGATTCCCTGGAGCAGCATCAGCCTGTCTCTGCATCGGTATGCCTGCGGCATGCACCAACGCATGCTTTTACCCCACGGAGTTGGACTCGGTGTGTGGAAGTAGGATGCACAAACAGTTCAAACAAACCTTTTTACCTGTGTTAGAGCTTGGAGAAGTGTTATTTTTTAAGAACTTGAGTTACTGACGTATGATTGCACTGTGTTTCAGTCAAAGTCAGGGCGAAAGGACAAGTCCAGCATTTCCAGACTTGAATGTGTGAAGTTGTGAGGGATGTCTTTCCTTAACGCTTCTGACAATCAGCTTTGAAGTAGGTGCTTAAAATGCAGCATGAATGTTGCAACATCAAGGCCAAAGCCTGTAAATAGCCTTTCATCGGGGCTGCTTGTAAAACCCTCATTAAAAAAAGGGATCAATCAGCACTTAGATAAACATGCCCCCACGACTGCTCTGTCTGTTCTTAGCCTCTTGGTACCAAGACCACTGTAAAAATATCTGTGAAACAAAGCAGTATTCTAAATACTGACACAAAAAGGAATCAAGTTAACACCTAGAATTCTGCCAACAGCTTCCCCCATGGACCACAATATTATTAGTGTGATCTAGAAAAGGGATTGTACAATGAAATGGCAGAAATTGCTTCTGCTAATTGGAACAGTGATAAACTAGTCAATATTGGGAGAGATTATAAGGGGAAATTATAGAGGGACCTAATACAGCTTTGTTACCGGACACCAGAATGGAAAAGTTCTGACAGAGCTGTTAAAAAAATCACAACAAATAATATTTTGTAGCTTTCCTTCTAAAGAAATTTTACAGAACATTTGAATATGTGTAGCTGGACAGTAACACAGCTTTTATAAAGAAGTACAAAGTAAATAATTGGCTGTGAAATTTTGTAACATCTGTTTCTCATTGCTGCCTTCTTTCTTAGGCTTTGCATTAACTAGGCTTCCCGTTCTAGTTTTAGACTAAATGTGGAAACCTTAGCAGGGTTCCTGTTGCTGGATTTTTATTAGTAGACCAAAAACTAAAAAGAAAACAAAAAATTATTAGCCACATTCTTCAATGCCAGCAGGGTATGCCGGTGTAAATCCCATTTAAAATATGACTTCTCTTCTTTTCTGACTGCTTTGTCATCATTTTAGTCTGTTGCTTACATGAATGAAAGTTAATGGGTTAGTGTGCAACCTAGATTGCTTTAAGATAGTTTAGAAGTGAATCACTATCATATTTCTCACGCTTCGCTAAGCTAATGGCTTAATCTCCTTGTGGTCTTTGTTTACCCACTGTTCCTGCATGACACACTAAAGCATCCCAACTTCTTTGCAAACACATGGGGTGGAAGCAACATCCCCTTGCAGTCTCAGGGAATAAAGCAATATGCCCGATTTTTTCTTTGTGTTGGAACTCTGTGTCCCGTCTGCCACTTCCAAAAGGAAAACCTCAAGAGCTTTCTGGGAACTGTCGCTGTAAACCTGTAAATGCTGCCTAAATAAGTCACGGGGATAATCTGAGGTTTGGAATTTTAGTTCTCTGTAGATGCATTTGTACAGAAATGGACTAGTGTCTAATAGGGGATTTTACAAACTCAAATCTTAGAAGGAAATGGACTTGCTCAGGCCTGGTGCAGTCAGATCTGAGCCTGAAGGGAGTGCCTCTGTGCGTGTGTCTCTGAGAAATCACCCGGATTCTTCCCCAATGGCAAACAGTCCTACAGAGCTGTGGCATAGGAGAGGTAGGTGGAGGCCATTGCATTTTGTTTCCCCAGGCAACTGCTTTCCCTGCTTCTGTCTAGAGCCAACCTAGACAGAGGACTTAAATAAAATCAGGCCCCTTCTACCCTTTTCAAGTGAGCATACACATTTCTTATTAATTAGACTTTTCTAAATAGTCTTCTCTGTCACAATCAGTGTTATGTGAAGAGCAAAAATAAGTAGCTTAATGTCGCTCCTGATGTAGCAAACTCCACATACTTCAAAAAGTTGGATCAAATTTACTTCAAGAAACATTTTACACCACAGTCTTCCCACCTTTATGCAAATATAGGCCTTCTAAATGTTTCTAACCTGCCTTTAAGATTGCAGAAGCTGAAGGAGATGTTTATATCAAAATTTGGATCGGCCCCCAAGTTTTACGTTCGTGCGCCAGGGCGAGTCAACTTAATAGGTAAGAGAGAAAAATTAGTCTTCTCTTATTTTGTCTGCTGAAATGGAAGCCTAGCAGTTGAAAACATAGAATCAGACTAATGTTGGTCTTAGTTTTATATTCTCCAGAGAGGTTGCTTGTGGTAAATGGAGAGGAGAATGTAATACTTTACTAGCTTTTGCAACACCTCATTATAAACAACTGTACACTCAAATACCAGTTTCGGAAAAAAATATTTACAGACAGCACTAGTGATGCTTTTGAAAAGTGGAGTAACTTGTCATCTTATGGTTGGGTACCATTTTATTTTAAAGGCTTTGGATGGAAATCTCATCTGAAGTAGTTGATAAACAATGCATCTGCGAATTAAATTAATGTATTTTTTCCTCTTCCATTACAATTTGTTACTAGATAAAACCAGCTATGCAGCAATGCATGTGATAAAGCATGAAATGATTCTACCATCATCTCCTCTCCTTTACTCTTCCATAGAGGTGTGTCCACAGAACAGTTGGTCGTGATTTACTGGCAGACTGGAGAGAGTCTGCTTATTTTGTATTTAGGACTGACTTGTATTTCTGTGGCAGCCTTATTTTTGAGATTTCTCTGTCCCTTTTAGGCCTGTGTTCTCCCTAGAGCTCAATTTGTGTATATTCATAAAGTAACCCTATGCGTTTGCAGACAATGTCAGTAAAGGATCCTGCAAAACAGAGCTTTAAAAATTAATTAGCCCGTTGTGCAGTTAGTGATAATTTTTATCACGGTGCTGTGTGAACATGTCATATAGATTAAATAGGCAGCATATGCTAACTGAGAATTATTTTCAAGAGAGAGGATGTTTTCTATATGCAGTTCCTATTTGAATGTTACTTTATGTTTTATGTAACAGTATTAATGATTATTTAAATAGAATTATTATCTTCCTGGAAAAAGGTCCAGAAATTTTATCCAAAAATCCATAAAATTTCCACCCCAAGCCTTATCTAGTGGCTGATGAATCACCCACATGAGCAGAGGAAATCATATAATGAGGAGTCATGTGCTGCCTTTATCTCTTCCAGTCATCAGTTAAATGTCTTTGTTTTGACTTAATTTTTTGTACTGTCACAACAAATAATGTGGCTGTCCTTGTTGCTGGACAATAATTTATGTAGTAGTGGTTGGTGGTTTTTTTTTTTATTTTTATAAGCCAATGTTAAAACTTGAAGATTTAGAAATAAATGCAATAGATAAGATCACAAAAGAAAGAACAAAATTTCTGTGCAGCAGTATGAAGTGGAGGAAGTGCACCCCAAACATTAAATAATAAGAGTTGAGACTACACTCAGGAAGTCTTGTACGGTAAACAGCACTGAAGCCCTGTAGAAGCCCTGTTACTGCTGTTCCAGAAAAAATTATTCCAAAATATTTTAACTGCCTGTTTCTTTGGTAGGAGAACATATAGATTACTGCGGTTACGCCGTGCTCCCGATGGCTATAGAACAAGATATACTGATTGCGGTAGAACCTGTAAAAACTCAAGTTGTGCAACTGGCAAACACCAATTCTTTGTACTCGTAAGTAATTACTTTGTTTATTCACTAATTTTTTTGAACCTCTTTATGCAATTGCAGCACAGGTTAACTTTTCAGAGATCTGACAAACTTCCACTGCAGCGTAAAGCTTAAGCATGTAAAATGAATGCTCTAAGCAGGTGGAATCCCACCGAGACCACGCGGTGTGCATCAGCTTAGAGAAATAGGTCTGCTGCTTCTGTCTCCCACCTGCTTGTTCAGATTTCTCTCATGAGGACTCCAATTTTTCAGTCTTCCTAAAAGTGCAATCCTGTCTTCTCTTCTATTAGCTTGTCTGTCTTGATGTCATCCCTATAACTGGCAACAGTTCAGTTTCTCCTGGAGAAGGGAGTGAAAAGTTTTGTAGTCCATTACTGCATATTTAAGCCAATGCTCTCCTGCTCTGGAGAACCTGGGGCTGTATTTTCACAACACAACAGCTTTAGCAACAATCCTGGCTCAAAGAATCTGTATTCCCTCTCTTCCACTTCCTCCACAGCTGCTTATTCACAGAATCACAGACTCATTTAGGTTGGAAGGGACCTTTGGAGATCCCTTGTAACCATCCTGATGGCCCTGCATCCTGCTGGATGCCCTGCAGTTTGCCAATGTCTGTTTTGTATTGGGAAACCCCAAAACTGGAGGCAGTATTGCAGCTCTGGTCTCACAAGTGCTGAACATGGGGAAATAATCCTGTCATTCTTTTCAACTTCAGCCACATTTTTCTGCCTGCTTCCTTGTAACAGACTGATGTTTGTGTGGTTGCATGGCAGTTCAGATCAGGTCACTCGTCTGCAGGAACTTCTGTGGGCATTTTGCAAGAATCAGAATCAGTCCAAGCTTAGTTTAAGCCATTTTTATTAAGCCCATTGGTTTAAGCCAAATGTAAATTAGGCCCTGAAAGCACCACGACAACCGTGTATGGCAGCACAGGGACAGCAACATACTGCCAAAAGTGGGAACTATTTAAGCACGGGTTCCTGCGCAAAGCTCAACTTATTATAAAAACGCGTTCTGAGCTGCTGCCTGTGAATAAGGCAGTCAAAAGGAATTTTTACTTCCATGGTAAGGATGAATATTCAAATATTTTTCACTCGCTTTGTGGAGTATGTTTTCACAGTGTAGCTGGGCTGAATGAAGAGTTTGCCACTGCCAAAGGTGATGGCTCGCTTCCTTGACTCCTAGTCTCCCTCTACTTGCTTCTAACATTGACCCACCCTCTGTCTTTTAGCAGGTGTAGTACTTGTCTGATCTTAAGATAAAATGCACTCCTCACTTATTTTTTGCCTGATAAAAATCTTGTCATTTTAGTGAACTGAATTGCCGTGCACTCGGCACTAGAGCTGACTTGGGTAAACAGTGGGAACATGCAGTGGTGAGCAAGGAAAAGGAAATGGGAGAGCTGAGTGTGACCTTTCCCATTCTTTAATAGCAACCTCCAACAGGGCTTCAGCTGTATTGCAAAACCATTCTGCAAGAGGCAATGGTTCTAGATTTATAATAGCTTTGATTAGGAGAAGTGTTACAATGGGTACTAAATAAAGCAATATCCAAAAGGTAAACACTTTTACTTGGTCCTTGAGCTTTGGCACATTACATCACAATTGAAATGGCCTTCTCCTAGGGTATGTACAGTTCCTACCAAATCTAGAATTCCAGCTTTTGAATTCAAATTGCATACACAGTCCCTGTATTTTTATATCTGCCCTGGTTTCAGTTTGAAATCACATGTTTTAGACCATAAACCAAGAAGAGGTCTCGGAATACACCATTAAGCATCTCTGTTTTGTTGAGACACTGTTGCTTAAAAACAAAGCTAAAACATGGCCATAATTTCATAACAAAGAAATATTTTTCAACACTTCGAATGTTACACCACATAACAAAACTGTTGACAGTATATCTTCCTTTCCCAGCCTGTTACACTGGTAGATTTATGCCTGTGGCGGATGGATATACATAGGCCTTTGGCAAACGACGACTAACCATAAGCCTCCATAGAATCACTATTTCCTATTTCATTCTTGTTTTGTGAACTGGTAAAATGTGTAACAGTTCTGTAGCCCTTTTCCACCCTGATAGTTGATGGTAACTTTTAGGAAAAACACAACAGAGAATAGGTTGCACGAAAAACCACGTATGTGTTTTTCATCATAAATAATCCCAACTGATGCCTTTTATGTTATTTGAGCTAAAACAGTATTCAAAAGTTAGTCTTTTGTAGTTTCGATACCTCCCCTTCACATAACATCTCTGTGATTGAGAAACACATGTACAGAGAATATCTGATGTGATAAATGCCTTCAGAAACACCAGAGGATTATAATTATCAGTTGGTTTCCATCTCCTGGCAAAACCTGAAAATCTTTCTTTTAAAAGTATCAGGTGTGAGGTTTTTGGTTTTTATAACGAATGTGGTAACAAAAAATAGACATAAGGATCCCAGGGATCTTGCCAGTCCCATGTTCTGTGTTTGTGTGAATTATGTCCATAGGAAACCTGCCAAAATGAAAGCCAATTTTTCTTTCATTTTCTACACAAGAAGATGGCAGAAATGAGCAAGATGCACTTGAAGAAGTAATTTTTTTTATTTATCTTGACAACCAGCAAATATAATCATAGTGTATATCTTCTCATTCATTGAAGTTTTGTCTGATTGTATAAAAAGAATTACAAAGATAAAATATTTTAGAACTCTCTTTTTGAGGGAAAAAGGACTTCCAATTTTCTTTCTGTTATCACTTCTACACATTGATTCCTGTCAACCTCGCTTTTTTGCAATAACAATTTAGGATTATTGTAGAATAACATAAGCAAACATAGGATTTTTTTTTTAATCTTCATGATTTTGGACAAGTATTTGCTATTTTAAATAAACCTACAGAAGTATGTGTATTCTATTCAAAAGCCATAGCAAAATGATATTGTTTTATTTTCTGGGAGATTGTTCTAAATACAGCTGAATCTCAAACTGGAAGAATTTGTGGCTATTCTCAAACTTCCCTTTTATTGTAACCTCAGTACTCTGAAACCCCAGTCATTTCCAACACCTAACTTTGTACAGTTCTCGGATGCTGCGTCGTCGGTGAAGTCCTGTAAGCGGCGCTATTCTGACGGTTGAGATTGGAAGAGAGCAGTTTATGTGTTGAACTGTACACCAGTCTGGTGTTTCTGCACTGTGCCCAGTGTTGAAATGGAATGGCTAACTGACAAAATGCTAATCATAAATTGATTCTTAAAGTGTAACTCTGAGCTGGGAATAGGTTGTAGACTGGTAGCATGAGTAGAGTAGCTCACTGTAGCATTGCTAGCATTAGACATAGGATTGTGGGTCCATTTTTACACTGGTTGTCGTGTTTGGGGGTTGCGTAACACAAAACTTGCAGCCTTTAATTGCACCAGAAGAAAGTGAAGTTTTCAGCCATCATTTGAGGACAACGATATAATTTTCAAGATGCTTTCTATTAGCGTAACTGTTTCTCCATAGGTAACAGAATACTGATAAACACACCTTCACACTGGTACTCGTTACAGGTATTAACCAGCGAGATTATTTTGGATAACAGTAAAACCAGCACATCACTAACCTTCACAGGCAGCGACTGGGACTAGCCTAAGAATGAAAAGCTCCATCCTCTTAGGAGTTGCAGACTGTCCCCTGCTGTATAATTTCTTCAGAGTGTTTTTATTCCCATTAAACCTAAATAATTCCAGGGAATTCAGCTGCCTCTGTTCATAATGTTCGGCAGACCTTGCCCTGTAAAGCACAGCTTAGCCTGCAACTTCGGAATACTTTTTTTAGGTTATCTTGACATTCTCAACTCCTTTCCTCTTTCTTTGTGGGCATCTGCTGTAACGACATCAGGGAGATACAGTTTTTGGGCATTCAACACTACAGACCTGTAAGTAGTCCGCGCTTCTTGGTGGTGAATGCGTGCTCCCCTGAGGCCTCGGCACATCACTCCATGCCCGTTTTGACAGCACCTAACTGCAGCAGTAGTTTCTTTAGGAACATTCAGGCTTACTGCTTTTATTACTTTGTAATGAAGATGGAGTAGGAATACTATTATCAGAGTTATCCTGGAGGAAATAGATAGACTAAACAAAATTATTTTAATTATACCCTGTAACATACATAATATAATTTTGCAGCGTTAGGCCTGTTTTAGTCAAGTGCCATTCACAGCAAAGGTAATGAAGATGAATTCCTGAGCAGGGGTTACCACAGTCTCCAAAGCGTATTTATCTCTATTCTAGGCTTGACAGATACTGTTATTCAGGTCTTCACTTCTCTAAGAGTTCAAGGGAACATACACACACACGATGGAAGGCATGCTGCCTTAATTAAGAATGTCAAAGGCAGTTTAATTCCTAAATTTATTTAAGAAATTCTGTAACTGAAGTAAAAATATTTATGCTTCCATCTAAAATATCCTTATAGACTTGATTAATAAAGAAGATCTGTACCAAGAAACCCCCCCAAACCCTGCACTGAAACAAATTAACATAGAAATGTTTTTGTTCATCAGCAGGTGGCAGTAACAAGCCACGTTTTATCAAACTAAATTTACTGACAAGTTACAGCCTCAAGGTTTTTCTGTTTTTGCAGGGATTTCAGTACTAGTGTTAATAACATTCAGATTAACAAGACCAAACCTCAGTGGCATAACTACTTCCTGTGTGGACTGAAGGGTGTTCAGGTAAGCCAAATACGGTTAACTCATGAAATTAATGTAGAAGCAAAACATGACAAACGTATCTATTCACCCTCAAAATACTTCCCTGCATTCTATAGCTTTTCTTGACATACAATGAAGTATTTTTATGTTAAAATTTAAAGAAGAGATATGAGTGGGTTTGTTTTAAAATATTTGCAGGGCACCATTTTGACTTTTATTACTAAATAAATAATCATGTTATTGTAATTTACGTAAAGTTATGATCAAACTCATCAAGATGACATTTCTCAATTTTGAAGTTAAAAGAATGTTTTCTAGTGGAATCATCTAATTAAAATTTGCTTTTAAAAAGATTTGGAGGCTTGTCTGTTAGGACACAAAGATCATATTTAAGTGCTTTTCTTCCTATGAAAACATTTTCTAAAACATCAATTTCCATTAACGTTGAAAACCTACAACTTGTGCACAACTGAGTGAGGCTGGCTCGTGCAGTAGGCAAAAGAAAATATAAAAAGTAAATAAACATCATACAAAGGAAATATTCCACTAAGAACCATTACTTATCCCAATTTTCAGTGTGTGGAATTTCAATGGGGTGTTCAAAATTTCCCGAGTTAAGAGTGCAGTTATGGAGGAAACAGCACACTTACGGTGAAGGCAGAAATGCTGAACACACAGACATTTTCTCATCTGCTCATTTGAGCTTTATCTTCTCCTTTGTGAGCTAGCTTCTCTCCAGACTGACTTGAGGCCAGAACTACTTGTGAAACCAAGCACTCCTCGACAGCATTGGCCTGGGAAGCACTCAGAACTCACAATTGAAGCTTCCTAGGAATCTCACCTGCTGTTTGCAGGTGATTCCTGGCCCTTTGAGGTAAAAACATGGTGACTTCTCAGCTGATGTCAATCCAGTGATATTTCTGGAAGGGCAGGTGGGATAAACAGTGATAGCTAAGTCAGGAACAGGTCACCACAGCCAGCCCAAATTATGGGTGAATGTGCTTTACAAAGCATGTGAAGCTTGCCCCAGGATAAGCTACCTAGGTCCCCCCACAGGATGATCCAATAGATAAGGACTGCAGATAGCCAAGGAAACCTGCCTCAGACCTGCCACTGGAGTCTTCAAAATACAGTATTTGGAACAACCAGTGCCACAAATCACTTTATTACAATCCACTGTTCCTAAACAGACCCCTGCCTCTATGTTAAGACCCCCATAAATTACTTACGTTTGCAGTAACATGAGAATTTTCAATTCTGTATTCCTCAGTAACACAGGCATTTAAATTGCATTGACTGTAGAGATATAGGTTAGGTTTCTTTACAGTATATCCTTTCTCATGTTATGGCTAGCATGACCAATTGACTTTATTTATTTTGCAGTCTGCTACTGAGATTTGTTTCCTAAGGACAAGCTTTCATACTTGAAGGTTAATTTGCAAAGCAGGTTTGCAGACTCTAGCACTGGCAGAAAATAAGCATAAATGTTACAGACTTAAGAAACACTGAAATACAAGTACTCAGAGGGTCCAGCGGGATAATCTGTTTATATTAAGTTGAACATGCTATCCTTTTGGGACAGGACTATTGCAGAACTTGGCAAAGTCCATTTTTGAAACTGAAGTACGTTTTCTATTTAAACATCGCGTGATAAGTTTGCAGGCCTGATTCACATTCAAGACAATCCAGAAACTGGATCAGTTTCTGGTTACTCAAGCATTTTCTGTTTTTTTAACAAGCCTGTCTAGTGTTCTTCATGAAGGGGCATGGGCAGCAATAGTATTTAAGGTATGAATTCCCTTATATTTGTAGAAAGGGATATAAAAATAATTTGAAGTGATGGTAGAAGACATTAAAGTGTTGCAGAGCTCTACCATTGGCATTTGTGGTTGAAGTAAAACCACAAAACCTTTTTTTTTTTCAGGAAAAGTAGTAGAAATCTTTTGAAGGTGGGCATTTCTTTATGGAAACCATGCCATTTTTTCTGATTATTGACACTGTAACATAGTTCATTGACATATAAATGTGTATCAGAATGTAGCTATTCATATACCTTCCATATACATTCAATCATTTTTAATAACTGCTGTGTGTTTATTTCAAACAACAGAGAGAAATCTAAGTGATGATAAATTAAAAAAAAAGCAATTAAAGAGTAATTAAAAGGGTATGTACATGATGATTTATGACTTCTGAATTGAACCTATTACCTGTGATATCTGTCACAAAGAATCACAGACTCACTAAGGTTGGAAAAGACCTGTAAGATTACCCAGTCCAACCATCACCCCACCACGACCGGACCCACTAGACCATGGCCTCAAGCTCCACGTCTACACGCTCCTTGAACACCTCCAGGGATGCTGACTCCACCACTTCCCTGGGCAGCCTGTTCCAGTGCCTGACCACTCTCAGTGAAGAATTTTTTCCTAACGTCTAATCTAAACCTCCCCTGATGCAGCTTGAGGCCGTTTCCTCTTGTCCTGTCACCAGTTACCCGGGAGAACAGACCAGCACCCGCCTCCCTACAACTACTATCACGTCTGTAAAAATACATTAAACTTTATTCTAGAAACAGCATGACAGAGACCGTCACCGCTGGTAGGCAAGTCTCTGTGCCTCCTAAAGCGTAGTGTCATTCAAGTACCATTGTGGTTTCCTCAGTGTCAGTCCTGTGGTGCTTCAGGATGTAGGAGTATCTGGCCTGGAGTGCAACTGCACGACTACTAGTTCCCCATCCGTGTGATGCGGCTCCATTGGAAGTGAAACCAGCATTAGAAGTGAAGCGTCGAGTGGACCTTACACTTTTCAGGATGCCTTAAGCAAGGAGCTGTGGAGAAAAGGACAGAAGTAGAGTATAAAATCACTGGTAATCTCTGGTACTGTTGCCACGGAAGCTCAGAGCAGAGCCAATTGCTGCAAAACCCACCCACGAAGCTTGGTAAATTCTTGGGCGTTTAGCCCACACTGAATTCTGCTTGGGGTACAGTTCTGTCAGTTTAAATATGTTTGTGTCCAGGAACTGCAGAGATACCTTTGGCTGAAGCCCTACCATTGGCTTTGGTCTTAAGGAACGGAGCGAAAATTTTGTTTTATTTTGGAGATACCAGAAGCAGGTTCTTGGTTCCAGCAACTCAGCAGAAAGATTCTCTTTCTAAGTATCAGATAATTGCAAGCCTGAGCCTGTCTGTACTTGAAACTGAGATTGTTTATTTTTTCATTGTTAGGAACATTTTGATCTTAATAACCCAACTGGAATGAATTGTCTGCTAGATGGAACCATCCCTCCAAGTTCTGGTCTCTCTAGCTCCAGTGCTTTGGTGTGCTGTGCAGGACTCGTGACACTAAGAGCTAATGGAAAAACCCTCTCTAAGGTAATTTACTGTAAAACACGAGAGTGTCAGCAGTAAAATTCTACTTAAAATTAAATATTGTTAATGCCTGTAAACATTAAAAACACGATACAATTGTTTTTGCAAAGAGTTGTTGGATATAAACTTAAGATATTGCACAATTGAGCAAACATCTTTGGCCAAATTTTGGCAGGATTTGAATTTGGCAAGAAAGCAGGCTTACATTAAAGCTGAAAAAAAAGGAGCATTATTGTAAGCCTGTATTTTGGCCAACCATCAGGTCCATGCCTGGACCAGATGTGATATCTGCAGGCCAGGACTGAGGATATATGTGCTGAAGCATGTGGACCACACCCCCGAGGCCTTTACCCTCTCCCTGAATGACTTTTCATGGCTTTAACAGCAGAGCATCTGTTGGAGGCCTGTGGAACAATTTCTTGATAAATTATATAATCAGCACAAAGTAGAGGTAAAATTCTTCCATCTGACTCTCCTTATACTCTTCACAGTTTTTTTGGAATGAACGTATTTACAATCCAACATGTATTCCTCACTTTTTTTAAACAAACATTAGTCAAAAAACAAACCCCAAGTATGTGACCTGTTAGCAGTACAACTGTTAGTAGAATTTGGCTCGTGTAATATGCATTTCTGGAGGAGTCATGGTCCTTGAAGGTGCCGTATGGGAATGAAGTTATCTGCAGTAAAAATGTCTGGTTAAGTGAAACTAGGATCTTAAATTAGAACATTGTCAGGGAGAGCACAGATCTAAATGTGACTGTTACGCGTATTTGCACCTATTGTCTAAGGCAGACATCCCCAAACTGTGGTACAAAGCCAACTTACAGTGGTACCGATGATGGCAGCTGTTAACTGTGCTTGTGTACAAGCACTTATCTGAGCCATGAGGGAAACACATCCACACAGAAGGGTTTTGCTGATCAGCCGTGCCTTGCTTCTCTGCGTAGCTGCAGCGGTCTGCTCAGCAGCCACTGCTCCAGCCCACGCTCACGGCTCAGTGCTTGCTCCAGGAGGGCCCAGCGGGGCTAAGGCAGGAGGCAGCAGGGTGGCTGAGGCAGGGCAGCTTTCAGTGGAGGAGGATGTGGCCACAGGCACTGTCACCCTGCTTCGCATGGGTGCAGTCAAAAGGTGAGTAAGGGGTTGGACACTTAAGCTCCGGTTTCTGAGGTGAGACATCTAGGGCAGCGGTAGATGAAAACATGGAATTGAGAATCCCACTTGGATGAACGAGACTTTGCAGTAAGAGGGTTGGAGGTGACAGACGTGCTTTTTTGTACACGCGTACCTGGCTTGGCAAGAGGCTTCTGGTTTTGAATAGATGATCTTATCACGGGGCAGCACCATCTCTGATGGGGGTAACCAGAGGAGCTAAGCTTGGGAACTGCTGATCAAAGTCACTGGAGTGCATGTGTTCAGGACTTGGGTATCTGCAAAAGCCATAAAACTGACAGAGGTCAGAAAGCCCAAATTTTACTATGTAGTAGAAATCTGTATCTGGAAAACCAGAAGCCAGGTTTTCATTATTCCAAGAAATACTGCACAGCTTTCCTCAGAAAATAAATGATATGGTGTGTATCCCGGGCTGAATTTACACATGGCTTGGGAGAACTGGACGGCGTTATGCCAGACCTATTCTAACGAAAGGTGCAAAACTCCTTTTGGCATTTTCAGAGAAACTTGTGCAGGTACAGAAGGAAGACGGAGACTCCACTGAATGTCTTTCCTTCTCCTTATGTGTCCTCTTCAATCAACCCAAAATCTCTTCTGCTTGCTGCTTGGAAAACATGCTGAAAGTTAAGCTTGTGTCTCAAATGTAGTTGGACAAATGCAAGAGACACAATTGCACATTTTTGTCAGGAAATCCTGCTGTCTGCAGCCAAATATTTTGCCCTTGTGAAGAGAAACGAGCAATTCATGTACAGATGAGAATTCGCAGTAGCCAGCAGAGGAGCAGTTAAGAGCATACCCAAGGTTTTGTGTGCTTGCACAGACCAAGACACCTGGTTGTGGGGGTTAAGACAGAGGATGACAGCTCTGAAGGCTGATTACTTTCGTCCAGGCTCTAAGTTTCCCCGAATCTTACAGGGCAGTAAAAACAAGCTGAGTGTTCTTGGCTAATTTATGATTTAGCATTAGAAACCTCTCATACCTAGCTAAATCCAGATTCTCTGTTGCACTGAATTTATGCTTAGCCTCGCAGAACTGCCGTGTATAAGGCAGAGCTAGTCTGAGTATAAATTAGAGCAGTCTAGGCATGCGAGCCCTCAGAAGCATCAAACGTGCTCTTGCCACTTCTTTCCAGTTCCTAATGCATCCCGTGCCGGTGCCAAGTGGTATCTGTGCAGGATCCAGTAATGCTGGCTGTGTATCAGCTGGGAGCTCCCCCATGGCAGGGGAATTCTTTGCTGACCAGAAATAGGGGCTTTCCATATCCTTTCTACTAGAAAGCAAACCAGGACCTTGAATTTTTAGGGCTCTGGGTATTTATGTGTTTGTTTATTTTTAAGGGAGGACTATCGCTTTACCTCTCCCCTCCGTCTTTTTTTTTTTTTTTTTTTCCAAATGCTTAAGAGTTGCGAAAGTTGTAAATGGTAGTATTTATAAGTAACAATGTTTGGTCGTGGTGGTAATTTTATGAGAAAAGATTGACTTTTTGCCCCTCGTTACTCAGATGGACTTTGCAAAATCTTAATATGATGGTCTGTAGCAGCAGGACATAGATATTTTTGGCTCTGGAATCAAATTTGGCTGAATCGTAGGGCTTCTGTAGCCAAAGTTATGAAAAAGTGACCTTTTACTGAATGGAACATTTATCTGTTTTGTCTGTGAAACTATTTTTATGAGAATATTTGAGTTGTATGCTCTTTTTCCTGATAAATGTTAAGTTTAAAATAGTAGCTGTAGAGTAGAAGTCATTGAAATTTAGAGCAAGTGAGATAACACTTCCAGTGTGAAGTTTGGACCTGTGAGATTAAGAGTCAAAAAACCACAAAATGAAAAATATTGTAAAAGCATGGCTAGAATTTCATGGTGGCTTACTTTAAAAATAGCACTTTCTTGATGCTGAAAACAAGATCAGAAAAAAAATTATGCTCTCACTAATTACTGTGTGTAGCAGCCTGCAATAGGGCATTGTTTCAGTGTGCATACAGCTTTTTTTTTTTTTTAAACCCAGCACACACATACACAATAGTTTAGGGAAAATACCAGCCCAAGACAATTCAGCCAGATGTGCAGTGCTAACCAGTTGCAGCAGTGCCATAGCTTTCAAATAACAAGATGGAAAATTTAGAGTGCGATCTTTAAAAAGAATCCCTTTTTCTCCTCCAAACAGGATACCAGCCTAAGACCCTGTTGGCATCACTCAAAGAACAGCAACGCTCAGTATTAGCTTTTGATTTTCAAGTGATTTTTATTTTACTGTTACAAAACCAATCTTTTGTACAACTTTTCATCAGGAGAAGATAACTTCTTGTAAAGGAAATAGAATAATGCTCTAAATTGTCCCAGCTTTGTGTTTCATGGGAGGAATTAATGAGTACAGAAAATCACTTAGTACTTTTGAATAACTAGATTTACTTGAAAGCCGTGATGATAGTGTTGCTGTCCAAATGTTAAATCTTGCGGTGCTAAGTTCTGGTCAGCCACCCTAACGTCTCTTCTGTTGCTCAAGGCTGGGCAGCTGCGCGCATACTTATTGGGAAAAATAGATCAAAAGCGATTAGGGTTTATTTAATTTCATGTGAAATGTTGAGCATAGGAAGTTGAATTATATTTGGCTCTATCTAAACCGAGAAAATCTGCCAGAGAGAAGGATAGATAAAGGACCGTAATCTAATCTGTAATGGCACAGTGTCCATGGGCTTCAGTTTTTTCAAACGATGGCTCACAGGAATTTGAGTGTGGGGTTGTCAAAACCTTCAACATTGTCCTGTATTTACACTTACAGTACACTTACAGTACCTGGTAATGTCATTGATTTCACTGGGAGAATAGAAAGGCCAACGGGAACCCTTTCTACTTCATTTCTGAAGCCTGTGTATAAAAAGGAAAGGACTTTGGTTGAACACTTTACCACTCCCTGATAATTTTTCTGATGTGCAATAGGACTTTAGTAGCTGGCAATCTGGCAAGAAAAATCTGTGAGTATTAATATCGATACCATGAATTTACATTTAATAATGCCTGCTGATAATACTGGTTAGGATTATTTTTTAATATCGCTGCATCAAAAAATGTTAGATAGGTTCATGCTCAGCATATTTATATGAGAAACTCAAATCGCTTACACAAAAAAATGGTACATAGTGTATTTTAAAATGCTGTTAATACTGAGAAATGTTAAAGATCCCTTTTGCCTGTGGAACTAAAGCCCTGGGTTCTTTACCTTGTTAAGTCTGACTACGTGTGTTTGTAATCAAGGGGAAACAGAGTACTTCAGAGCAGTGGTAATCAAAGGCCGTAATCTCTCATCAACCAAATTGATAACCTTCGATTTGAGCATGTTAGAGGGCAGACGAAGTCAAGCTAAGATTGCTGTGCTTATGAGGACATCCAGATACTATCTGACAAATATTTTCTCATTTTGGAAAAAAGTAAGCTTAATTACCTTGCAAAACATATATGAAGTTCAGCTAATTGGGATTTTTATGCAAACTGGAAGCAGATGGGAACTTCCAGCGATCAGTTCCTAGTCAAGAACAGATATTAAAATGAGGGACATTCCTGGTGGTAAAAATAACCACAAAGTGGGGGCACCATTTTATACCTTAATAAATGAAACATAGCACCTTATATTTCAGAAGTTATTTTCATGCACGTATACATAAGTATAAAACATGCACAGATTTAAAAAAAAAGAATCACCATCTACCTGCACTTTAAATACGCCTGAAGTGATGGAGAACATTTTCTTCTTACTGTAAAATACTCATCTTTATCTACAAATGTTTTCTCCCTGTTTTCAGTCCTGTGTGCTCGGAACAAAATAGAAAATCTAC